CCTCCAGCTCTAATGTTAAAAATCTTGGTGTTATTTTTGATCAGGACATGTCTTTTATCCCCCACATTAAAAACGTTACTAGAACCTCCTTCTTCCACCTGCGTAATATCACTAACATTAGAAACATCTGATCTAAAGATGATGCAGAAAAACTGGTCCATGCATTTGTCACGTCTAGACTGGACTATTGCAATGGTTTATTATCTGGGTGTCCAAGTACTTCTTTAAAACGTCTTCAGTTGATCCAAAATGCTGCTGCCAGAGTCTTAACTGGAGTTACTGGGAGAGATCATATCACTCCAGTTTTAGCTTCTCTCCATTGGCTCCCTGTCAAATCCAGAACAGAATTCAAAATCTTACTTCTAACCTACAAAGCTCTCAACAACCTAGATCCATCTTATATTACAGATCTTATTGTTCCATATTTTCCTAACAGAGCACTTCACTCTCAGACTGCAGGTTTACTCGTGGTTCCTAGAGTTTCCAGGAGAAGAATGGGAGGAAGATCTTTCAGTTCTCAGGCTCCTCTCTTGTGGAACCAACTTCCAGTTTCTGTCCATGAGGCTGACACATTGTCCAGTTTGAAGACTGGGATTAAGACTTTCCTTCTTGATAAATCCTATAGTTAGGGTCGGCTTGTTATGCTGCTATAGACTTAGACTACTAGAGGACCAATTGACCCCATCTCCTTAAATGAATTGTTAAAACTGAATCGTTTTCATTTGATATTATTTCTATCTTAACATGTGATTCTTGACCTGCCATTGTGTATCTATTCCTACCAAACCCAGCTGGTCGAAGCAGATGGTCCTCTTGTCCTGATCCTGGTTCTGCTAAAGGTTTCATCCTCATGAGGGAGTTTTTCTTTCCACTGTCGCCTTCATGCTTGTTCAACATGAGAGTTCAGTGATGGAGTTAAACTCAAAGCTGCTCCTCAGATAAATAATGTTCAATTATTATTTTATACATGAATGTTTCTGTTCAATTATTATTTTATACATGAATGTTTCTGTTCAGTCCCTGAGATGATTCTGTTGTGACTTGGAGCTTTAGAATAAACTGAACTGAATTATGAAGAAAGATAAAATATATATCTGAAAGAGTTTTGAGCGCTACAGAGTGTGGACGCTTCTCACAAAACTGATACAATAATCAGATCTCTAAAATGTACAAGTGAAAGTAGTTTAAATAAATAAAACTGTCTTGACTTTAATTGTGAAATTAGGAAAATAACAACAAAACTTGAAAATAAGCAGACAGTTCCTCTTGGTGCTGGATCAAAGTGTTGAAATTGTCTAACATGACGTGACAGAGAGGGCTGAGACGAAAACCTGATTCTTCACAATAAACAGACGCAACAACAGAAGAATAAATGGAAGGTGATAAAACATAGAGGTGTTTTGTTCCAACACTTTCCCCTGTTCTGTCCTTATCTTCAGCCACAGTTGGTGTTTGTGTGAGTTCTGTGTGCACCTTTGTAGTGGTGAGCTGAGTATGACCTCCAGCAGCTGAACGACCCCCTCCAGGACCTCGACTGTGGCGTTCCTGACCTGTCGACGCAGAGCCACCCCTGAGACACAGAGAGGACACAAGCACCAAAACACCAGATCAAGATTTTGGTGCATCGCAGGCAGAAACTTACACCAGCTTTACATGATCTCAACCAGCTGATGAGCTCTTTGCAACTAATTTGTGTTTTTTCTGAGAGAACTCAAACCACATCACTCCCAAGAGCTAATGTTCCTGAAGCGGTTTAGAACAATTGGCCAATAAGTGAATAAACAAAGATTAGATGAGACGAAACAGAGTTATTATACCGACTTGACCACAAGTCCCAGGTAAACCTAGAACGTTAGAAGGAGTTATTAAAACTGACCGTGGCTCTTTGGCAGCCAGTAGTAGACTGTGGACAGAGTCAGGATGCTCTTCAACATGGACTCCAACAACTTCTCTGCATCCTGCAACACACACGTGCTTTAAAGTGATACGACAGGTCAAGACACAGAGAAAGTACGTGACGATCGTTTGCTGAACAGCTTTAGTGCTCCGGCAAGACTCGAGCATTTGGATGCTGTTTATAAAAACACCTTCCAGAACACATAACGAGAAGAACGTGAATAAATAAAACCAAAGTCCAAGCTCAATAATCCAGGTATAAAATCCATCAATGTTAAGTCAGGTCATCTGGATGGTTTGTCTTTTTGCTGAGACATTTTGTCTTCATCCAAAGGACTTCTTCAATCTTAGGAGCCACCAACAAACCTGATTCCCACAAACAGGTCTATTGTTTGTTTGTCTTTGTTCTGTTTTTCCACTATGGAGTGAGCTGTTGGTGGGAATCAGTTTTGTTTGTTGGTGGCTCCTCAGACTGAAGAAGTCCTTTGGATGAAGACGAAATGTCTCAGCAACAAAACAAACCATCCAGATGACCTGACTGAACATTGATGGGTGAATAAATAATAACATTATGCCAGATGAACTGCGTTTTCTCGTAAGTTCATTAACTTTTTGTAAACCTAATTTAAACAAATGGCGTTACGTTGTGTGTAATTTCATGTTAATTTATGTCAACAACAAAACAAACAAAACAACAACAACTAACTGACCTGTAAAGGTGGCAGGGGAGGACTGGAGAACGCCAGGCTGAGTTTAGTGGCTTCCTGAGATACTGCCTTCACTGCCTGGTCTGAGGACAGACAATGTTTAGGTTTTACATTTATATTAATTTAATTCAAATGTGGGCAGCACGGTGGCGCAACTGGTAAAGCTGCTGCCTCTCAGCGAGCAGGTCCTTGGTTCAAACCCCGGTCCAGGGGCCTTTCTGGGTGGAGTTTGCATGTTCTCTCTGTGCATGTGTGGGTTTTCTCCAGGTACTCCAGTTTCCTCCCACAGACCAAAAACATGCATGTTAGGCTGATTGGTAACTCTAAATTGTCCCTAGGTGAGTCGTTTGTCTCTATGTGTCCCTGTGATGGACTGGAGACATGTCCAGGGTGTCCCCCGCCCCTCGCACAGTGATTGCTGGACATGGGCACCGGCGACCCCCGTGACCCAAAATGGAACAAACGGGTAAAGAAAATGGATGGATGGAGTTTTAATATATGTGGACGACACCGTACGGTATAAACGTGCCAAGAGGAAACAGCTGACGGTTTTTCTGCAGCTATGGTGCCCGTGTCCCACTGGCTTCAAAATTCATGTTTACATGTTAATAGAAAAATAAAAAACTGTTTCCTGCCAGTCAGCAGAGGGAACAACACTAACTGTTCATTGACGAATCAATTCAAATAGATTGGTGTTCTATTTGACTCTAATCGTACTTTAAGGCAACAGGTTAAGAAGACTACACATAATATAATTTAACTTTAACAGGTTAAGACTTTTTTTAAATTCACAGGCAGCTAAAACTTATACACATGCAATGATTTTTGACTCGCATATTGTTTTACGACCTGGTCACACACAACAGCATCTCTTCAAGAAGACAAAGTTTTACACAGACGACCTTTGTATGCTCACTGTTCTAATATCAATAATAAGTCTTGGAAATTAAAAACTACTGTGTTTAGTGATCCAAGTCTCCAGGTTTTAAATGGACCTTCTCCTCCACCTTTAAACTCTTTGATCCAGAAGAATAAAACCAGAATAAACACCAGATCCTAAACAAGAGGGGACCGTGTCGTAGCCACATGGAGGAATGAATGTGGGTGAAAGGTGACGTCAATTAAACAAATCCGTCGTGTTCATTCATGAAATGGGTCTCTTTTAATGGTTTGACTTATAGAGTGTGACATTTGTGGTTTATTTTATGGATTGTTTTATTGGCCGTGTGTGCTTTTGTGCACTTGTTTTATAAATTGATTTTATCTGTTAAGGACAACAGAGGAAACTTAGCTGTTGTGTTAATTCCAGCGCATTTATATTCTTGGAATATTGATTAATGTGCGCGGTCCTTTTAAATAAATAAATGACCAAATTTAAACATAGGCTTATGCTGATTAAAAAGAACACTAAATACAAAATAATAATAATGATTTAAAAAATGCCTGTACAGACAATACAGTGCAGTGACCGCCCAATCAGTTTAAAAGAACAAGTGTGACCAAACGTACAACTGGTCCCATTGTAGAGATTTAGGCACTGGAAGGAGCGTCGAGTTGAATATGGACCTCAAAAGAACAAGTTCTGTGAAACTGTACCACACACACAGAAAGTCATTTTCACTTCAGGGTCCCTTAAAGTAGTTGGAAACGAGACAGGAGGAGGAGAACTCCAAAAATACTCAACTCAAAGTGTCCCAGAAGTTGGAGAGGTTGAAGGCTCCGTCCGATTCGTTCGATTCTCCGTCTACAGAGGACGTGAGTCAGAATGATCAACGCTGACGATACACAAACAGCCCAAAGTGAAATTTAGCCTCAACTTTACACACACCGCTTTAAGCCTGGTCCTCTGGGCGTTCAAACAACAAACTAAATGTAGAAGCGTTTCGGCTTTCATCCC